AAAGGGAAGAAGGGAGGATTTTTTTTAAAAAAAAATTAAGAAAATGACTGCGCATGTGGTGGGGGTCAAGCCCTCCAAGCAAAAGGGAAGAATTTTTTGCTTATGGTATAAAAACTACAACTGGGTTTTTCTTTGGGCAAGTTTGGGGGTGGGGGGGGGGGGGGGGGGGGGGGGGTTTTTTTTTTGTTTTTTGTTGTTTTTTTTTGCCCCAAAAAGGGGATCCGAAGCTTTCCAGCCCAAATGGTTAAGTATTTCAGATTTTTTTTTTGGGGGTGGGAAAAGGGCAAAGTTTTAGACCTAAGTTGCTGTTTTATACCCAACAGGCTGAAGGGCTTTTTTGGTTGATTTCGTGATCTTTTTAACTGTCATGGAACAAATGTGGGAAGCCAGAGAAAAGTGGTATTAACATCGGTTTTGTATTTTCAGATACCACCTTCCCAGTTGGAATGTCATTAAAAGCGAATCTAAAGATGATATATGATGAAATGTTTACAAAGATGATAAAGGCAGTGGTTACAAGTGGGGCATTGCTGCAACTGGAAAACTGTCTATGATGCACTAAAAAGTCCGACTGTTAGTAAAGAGTCTACGGCAGAAAAGCTTAGTGAATGGTTGATAAAAGGTCAGTAAAAAAGTTTAATTGTAATGTATCTTATGTATCTGTTTTTCTAATGCGCAGGAAGGAGAACTGTAAAGCGACATCAACAAGATGGTAGTACAATCAAGCAATTCTGCTCGATGAGCCAGGTGATAGCAGAGTCACTGTTCATTCGCCCTACAGAAATATCTGGCTATGCAGCAACATATAATAAGGTTGTATATTTTGCTACGGTGACATTATTATGATTTGATACAGAATCAGAACTGGACCGAGATCTATTGAATGTCCTCAAACTTGGGTATGGATTTGCTAGAATGGAAATGAAAAATAGTTGCAGTGGTGGCCTTGTGAAATCAAGATGAATCTCTAAGGCCTACGAATAAAGTCTCGTGACTTCCCACTTGAAAAATAGCAGAACAACGAGAAAGGAAGGGAAAGAAAAAGAACACACGATATGGATAAAGCCCATAATGCAAGGCATGGGACAAGAGAAATATCCACAAATGAAAGAAAAGCGAGTTAGATTTTATCCAAATGTTTGGTTATGAAAAGTTTGTTTTAATTGAATATGGTGGCTTTAGACATGAGAAGAAGAGTACAAGAAGGTCCGTCAACTGAAGCACTGTGATAATCCATTAGAAATATTGAATGTCGAGGAGAGAAGAAGTGCTGGTATTCTACATGATGAAAATCAAACCTACCTCAAAGAATTTTAGGCACCATGTGACAAATGGCTGTCATGCCTGCATCCTGCGGGAAGACCTTTACATTACAGCCAACACGATGATCCTGAGCTTCGAGGCTACAGTAGAGAGATTGGCTAGTGCTATTCCGAATTATGAGGCAGATCTAGCCGGACCTTATCCATGCTATTCCTTTTATCGTTGTTCTGTCGATACTCTGTTACAGATTTCAAAAGAAGGCAATGATGATGTTGCTAAAAGTAAATTAGAAAGAATTATACTCTGGCAAAGAATGCAACATCCACACCACTCAGTTTATTTGAATCTCAAACCAGAGGTTGTTAAATCACGTCAATATGGAGGGATTCCCCGGGAAGAAGAAGAAGCAGACTATTTATATTATGGTGTCTGTTGTTTTACTCTTTATCGTCAGTCAATAATGAACTTGTTGCAGTTGGGTGCCAACACATCCAGTCAATCCCCAACGAGCACTTGAGGGAAATACTCTCTGATGCATATGGATCTTACAGACTGCAGCGAAATGCACAACAGGGAGAATGTGGTCCTGATAGCAACCTTGAAGCAAGTATTGATGAAGAAACTATAGATTGCGAATGCCACATCTACCGCTATGATGCAGAAGCTGATTCTTGGGAGCTTGTCAAGAGCACACCACCGAATGGGAAAAGCAGTAGTGATCCGTCTGTGGCTGTTGTTAATGAGAAACTTGTCATTGCACGAGGATCACGGAATGTGATTATTGTTCCCTATCCATGAGTTTTATACATTACAAGTATCTATTCCTCATTGTTGTATCTATCTGAGTACTTTACCCTCACTTAACGAAATGAAAAGCACTGAATTGCAAACCCTCAGTGCTGTAACCTTTGCTGCGCATGCGTGCCCGAGGGTTAAAAATGAAGTTAAAATTCAGCAACTGAACAGGAGAATCTTATTAAACACACAGAATTGGCTACAAAATTTAGCCACACAAATATTCATACCTGTAGCTAAAATTTTAAAGAGACATAAAAGATGAATTTCTAGAGATCAAGTCGTGTGATGAATCAGAGTGTCAGAGTTTAGGTGGCTTTTATAAATATCATGAGCTTGGTTCAGTCTGACCAGCCTGTGCAGGTAGGAAAGTTGGTGGGAGATATAAAACAGCCGGGAATGATTTGAAAGCTAAGTGAGCCTCTACTGTAGCTAGTTGTGTGAATTAAGGATTTCTCTATATGGGACGGGCACAACAAGCACTGCCTACTGTAATGTTTTTTGATTAAATATGCAAAATTGAACTGCTCGCTTCACTCGCCAAAAATGTGATGAATTCGTTCTAGTAGTATAGCAGGGGGAGATCTCAAGGTTTGAGGTTCAATATTGTCTTAAAGGGGAATGTGTTGGTATATAAGGGCTAAATTTAGAAATGTTACTAAAAATAGAACAAAACAATGGGGCACAGTGAAAGAATACAATTAAGTTCCGGTTTTAGTAACAATTCTAAATTTAGCCCTTATATACTGCCACATTCCCGTTAACCTTTTGTGGGTGGGGCGATCTCACAAAGGCGTAATACATGAAACGTTAGTGCAGTAGATAAGCTTCAGAAAGCCAAAAAGTTAGAAAATCATGCTTCTCCCTCAGTCCTGTCCCTGAAGATGAAGAGCCTGGGTACTATGCTTGGTTTGTTACATGCGTGAGGATATAAGGCTATTTAGAAAGAGACCTTGCCGTAATTTCGCCCGTTCTGTGACTGACCGTGATATGACCGAGAGTGGACTCTGCCAGTTGTCTGATGTCCTCTGAGTTTCTCTGAGATGATCGCAGCTGCTTCACTCTGTCCAGCAGTGCAGGCTGTCTCAACTGAGACCTCGTCCCCATGTCTGCAATACATTAGACAGCATATGTACATAGAAGGGGTAGAATATATATGGCAGGGTGTCTCAAATGACACATTAGACAGCTACAATTATGTAAGAGGTATATTTCAGCACATGTACATAGAAGGGGTATAATAATATATGGCAGGATGTCTCAAATGAGACCACGTCCCATACGTGAGGGCAATAATCTATTTCTGCGTGCTTTATAGTGACTGTTCCCTCAACTGCTGTATAAGCCATTCACAAGGCTAATCATAGTGCAACAGGGGTAATATATTTCCTGTGCTATATATTCTTTAGTCACTCCCATCACTTATGTAGAATCAAAAGCTATGTATTTGTCAACCACGAGGTATCGAGGTAGAAAGGCAAGGCAAAGCAAACAAGTCAATTACATGTACACTATAAGGAAGTGTGCATCAAATGGAGTGAATCTATAGAACAGAGTGGCATGGTAATTGAGGGAGTTGGTGCTGACCTCCCTGAGAGAACTGGGAGGTGATCCAGAGAGCAATATGGACACAACTGGACTCCTCTGACTCCATGAAGCGATGGATGACACTCATTACTGACGGTGACCCACTCAGTAGTCTAGAGTGGTATTCGGCTGAGGAAGATAAGATAAGGCATAAAGTGGTGAGACAGACAGGAAGCACACAGAACTAGAACTTTTGAGTAAGAAAAGTGTAACTCGAGCAAAAGTAACACAGTATCTTGTGAGCATGGATTTGGGGTACATATACCTCTTACTCTTACCATATACCCCAAAAATGCCTACGATTTCGCATTTTTTGTAGGCACAGGAATGGAAGAAGAGACAGACTGACTATCCTTAATACTTTGACTACAGTTGGACTATGGAATAGTGGCATACTCAAATTCCATTATTTGTAGGCACATGAGTAAAAGAAGAGACAGACCAACTATCCTTAATGCTTTGACTAAAGATGGAGTATGGAATAGTAACATAACCAATCTTCATCTCTCTCATTATTGCTCTCTCGTCTTTTCAAAACAAGGGACAACAGTGTTTTCCCAAATACATACCATCTCCTTATTTGAGTTTTCTAGCCAGCTATTGTACAGGCGGTGTGATTTCTCCGTTCACTGCAATACATTTTCCTGGCTGCCAGGAGCAATGACGTCAAGCGTGATTAAAATTTTCATTAAAATTCTTTGCCTAACGTGCAACTGGGCTGCATTAGATAATCTACTCTTTCAAAAAATGTGCTGCAGTTTAACGTAAGTCGCAAAGAGCCCTTAAACTGGAAGCCAAGCATAAATACATTAGAGCATAGATTGACAACGTATGTACGTACTGTTGATGGCGATGTGTCCAATGATGCCTGCACAGTTGTACTGCACTTCAGAGTACTGGCTCTCGGTCCACTCTATGAGGGTCTTATAGAACTCACCGTCATACAGCGACATCAACTGTCTCCTCGCACTCTCTGTAATAATGACATCACTCATGGAAATACTGACTTAGAGATAATACTCACAGAGCTGCACAAAGAATCATTGTTTATTTTTTTAGCTTTTAGCTTTTTTTAGGTCTTTAGCTTTTTTTAAATTTAGCTATGTGCACTTGGAAGCTCTGTATTCCACACTGTAGATGTATGTAGCTGGCCACTTACCATTGGCAGCAAGTACAGCTAGAGCAGCACTGACTTCTGTTAAAACAGCCTCTGGTACACCTAGGTTACATACATAATGTGTATACAGTTATTAGAAAGTAACAACAGTTTAAATCGTCCTGTCACAGACAGAATAATAGAGCAATGTGTACCTTGATAGTTTTGTAGTAGGTCTGCCAGTACAGGAATGCATCCTTCGTCTACTATAGCCTGTATGCAGTGCACAAGGAAACATATCCGAGCCTTTCGCTTGCATAGTTAAGTAAACAAAACTGAAGGCTGGTAAAAACACACTGGCCAAAGACAACAGGGACACAGAAAAGTTAGTTATCTTTCCCTCTTCCAGCTGCAAAAAGGCCAAGTTAGTGTCAACAGCAAGGTAGTAGCAAGGCAAAGGCAAAGCAAACCAGTCAACTACACCCAGGACAGCTCTGTTTTAAGAAGAGCTGCACTGACATTCAAACCCACGACACTCTGTATTCTAGGTAGGTGCTGTGCATAAAACAGCCTCATTGTCTGGTATGTACACTCTCACCTGGCTCTGGTCTTCAGCGGCGAGGTTCCGGAACGTTCCGGCAGTGTGGCACTGTACCTCCGACTGCTCTCTCATCAACAGCAGTCTCTTTAGCTCTGGCAGTGCTTCACTGGCCACTATTAGTTGCTGCAGTATAATTATCATACATCGTGTATATGTATTGGCACTATGCATGCTTGAATGAAAAGCAGCAATGAGGTTGCAGGGTAAAGCAAATGCAAACAATAGAGCTACATCCAGAACAACTCCCAAGGAAAAAAGACTTGCCCTGGGAGGGATTATATTAAACCTACTGCAGTCTCAGCATAATTCATCACCTATACATCCCTTGACTACGTATTAGAGAGGGAAATTAGGCAATCTGTTTATGAATGCATCGCTACCAACTCATGGTCAAATGCTGATAAACCTATGAACCCAGGTGGTCTGGCTGAAAGTGAATGTAATAATACAGAGTCAGACCTCGTTTCCTTTGTGAATGGAGAGGTTCCTGAGAGCCGCCACTGCGGCTGTGACTGTCTCAGCGTCTGCTGACCTATGCAGTTATAAAAACAAACAATTGTATAGGAATACATTAACAATTCTGTCAGGATAGTCACTTTACTAGGATTTTGCACACTACTGACTGTTGTACATTCACTAGCCGAGAATATTTTTATTTGTCGAACGTTTCAATACTCATCGGTGGAAGTATACAAAAAAACAACACGTGCCTTATTTCTGTACTTCTACTACTGATGAGGACCGCTGACAATGTGAATGTAGAACAGTCAATACAAAGTATACCAACACTCACAACATTACCACTAGTCAGAGGTGTGTATGGGATATCAGCTGACCTGAGGAGTGGGATGAGTACGCTTAGACCTCCATTTCTAACTATTCTGTCCTGGTTAATGTCTGTTTGGAGGGATAGAGAGGGAGGAAATGAAGGAGAGAGAGAGAGGGGGGGAGAGAAGGGAGAGGGAGAGAAGGGAGAGGGGGAGAAGGGAGATGGAGAGAAGGGAGATGGAGAGAAGGGAGAGGGAGAGAAGGGAGAGGGAAGAGAGGGAAAAGAAGAGAGAGGGAGATGAAGGACAAAAAGAACAAGGAAGGTAAGGAGGTATGCAAATAAGTCTAGTGATGTAACATGTAGGCTTTTGGAGCTCAGACAACAGATGGGCACACTATACATCTATCATCCACATACCGTCAGAAGCTAGGTTCCGGATGGCGAGACAGCCCTGGCAACGGACCTGTGTGTTGGGTTGTAGGCATCACCACGTTGACAACAACTAGATACCATTGTACACACATAATATAGCACTGTTTCAATCTATATTGTAGCACATAATGTACACGGCTACTATGCTATAGACATGCTTTTCACATATATTGTAATGGGTTGTCTCTAGCCAGTCTTCTAGACTGCCATACATACATACTGCACAGTGAGTTTCCCCAAGTACACAACCACTTGTACAAACAGTACAGAAAGATCTGTATGAACTGACAATAAACCCGGCAACGAAAAACGCCTGCCCACAACAAGAGTCGCATGTGACACCTTCTGACTTGTAGCTCGTGAAACCAGTTTGAAACCTGTTCTCAGACCGGCTGGTATAAAAGCAAGGGCAGCTAAGCTACTATCATGATTCTCTACGAGTGAATGCTACTCGAGTAAATTTTGATCAAATCTAAGAAATTGTGAATCGGTGATCTCTCTTCGAATCTAGACAATCTTCTGACTCACAAAGAAATGGCTACAACTTCTACTGCTGCTGCAGTTCAAGAGAACATTCCAACCGTCCTGCGGAACAAACCCTCAGCTGTCGTAAAACCACTGCCGTGTTCCAACACCACAAGGCAAGTGCTCGTTGGAGTTGTGAACCAGGCAGGTCCTGCCCCCCGCAGCAGAAGAAATGGAGGAGGAGGAGAGAGACAAGCTAGAGCTGGTGCCAGGAGAACTGCGTCTACTCGTGCTACTAACGCAGAGCCAGACTCAAATCGACCAGAGGCAACTGGGACTCAACGGAGAGAAGAAGATGAACAGCAGCAACAAAGAGGTGGGAGGGGAGGAACTAGAACCACCAGGACCAGAGTTTCCGCTGCCGGTACCACGAGAGCACCACAGCCAACCGCAACAGTGTGCCAAAACCAACCAAAGAACTCCGAAACAAGCGAATCCAACGGTGCCACTAACCCACCGTCGGTGACCACTCGGACCACTAACACTACCAGACAAACCGCTGCGGTTGCAAAGGTGAAAAAGACCCGAGAGGCTGGAGCAGATACGGGATCGTAGCTGTCAGTCGACCACTTCGAGTGGTCGGACTAGCTGTGGAGGACATCAGGAAGACAGATGGACGTTACGTCAACACTCACTCAAGGAAAACTACCACAACCAGCAATGTAGCTACAGGTAAGTACACGTGTACAGTTATATACACAGGGGGGTGCGTTAGAGCATTCACTGGAAACCCAGGGCCTAAAACTATAGACTACCCTGTGCATAAAATATATAGCTTGGGTGCATGTCCATACTTAAGAAGATCCCACTCTTAAGAAGGTATGTAAAATAGGTTAAATTATGTACGTGTGTATTCAGAAAGGCATCTACTTGACGTGAGTGGTGCGTGTGTAAACAAAATGTGCTCAAACTTCACTGGCAGCTCATAGTGCTACATACATACGTAGCAAGCACTCACGGCTACTTGGCACACAACAGCTTCCACTTGTTGCGTTGGCTGAAATCATGTCTTCCACTTGTTGCGTTGGCTGAAATCATGTCTTCCACTTGTTGCGTTGGCTCAAATCATGTCTTCCACTTGTTGCGTTGGCTCAAATCATGTGTCTCTCTCTCTATAGGTGCAGTACGTCCTGTCCCCAAACCAAGGAAGAACGTTCGACCTACCACTGGAGCTGAACCAACCATGCCAAAGCAGACCACTGCAGGACCAAACCAGGCCACCGCGGGAACCAATGCTGGACCAAACCGTGCCATTGCAGTGACCAAAGACGGACCACTGCAGCCCGGGGAAGCATCTCGACCGAGGTCCCTGGAACTGGTACCCTTCGTCCCGGAGTCAAGCATCGATATCACCGAAGACCCGAGCATGTGTGGGGAGTATGCCGCAGAGGTGTACGTGTACCATCGCCAGCTGGAGGAGCAGAGGCATTACCTGGTGTGTGCCACTTCATGGAGCACCAGACCAACATCACAGGCAGCCATCGACGTGTCCTGGTGGACTGGTTGGCCCAGGTTAGCTTCAAGTACCACCTTCTGCAGGAGACCATGATACTCACCGTTGATATTCTGGACAGATATCTACAGGTATATATTATAAATCCTCTGTCTTACAGTAAGCATGCTTAAAGGTTTGCAATCAGCTTTATAGGCACATGCTTTTAAGTACGTACTTAGGTTAATACAGTATTCATGAAGATTCTGAACTTTACAGTGACAAGGTTTTTTTTTACGAGGAAGACAGTTATGAGCACCGCACATGTATATGTACATTTTGTCTTTTAACATAGCCATATTGTACGTCCCCTGAGCCTAGGGAAGTGTGCTACAACTAAGTGTGCTACACAAAGATGATGCTTTTCTCCCCAGATTGTGATAGTTCCCAAGCCAATGCTCCAGCTGGTGGGTCTGGCATCTCTCCTCATCTCCTCAAAGGTTGAAGAGATCTACGCTCCCTCCGTCTACGACCTGGTCTACATATCGGCCCACACCTACACCCGCGAAGAGGTCCTCAAAATGGAGAAGACCATCCTCCACGAGCTGGACTTTCGCATCCTCAAGCCCTACCCACTCCACTTCCTGCGCCGCTACTCTCGCCTCGCACGGACAGACACCAACATCCACCACCTCGCAAAGTACTTCATCGATCTCTCGCTCCTCGAGACCGAGACTAGCTCCCTACTCCCGTCAAAGAAAGCGGCCGCTGCATTTATCCTCGCCAGTTCTCTAGCCAACGTACAACTCTACGGGACGTCCGGGAAGAAAGTGTGGACCAAAGACCTCGTTCGACACTCGGGGTACAACTTTGTACAGCTCAAGGACCCGGTTACAGTTCTGCTGAGGGCCATGGCAACGCGACACCTCGTGGACAATGCCAAAGCAATCAGGGAGAGATACGTGAAGAACGCACCGACGGAGCAGGTGAAGTCTCTGATAAAGACGGAACTGGAGAAGACTATTACTGCTGCAGACCACAAAAGGGTCATCTCTATCATTGCGGAGCAGACCGAGTCTTAGTTTGGAGAGGGTTAAATCACCAATACAATCCTAGCTTCATACATGTCTCAATGTTTCAGTGTAATCATACCTAATGGTGTAATTTAATACTACTGAACAAAAGGACAAGCGTACATGCACCTAGAAGCGCAAATTACATAACTGTTTACATGAGCTTACACGAACCAAGTGACAACAATTTGTGAAACTGAGCCATGAACCAAGTGACAACAATTTGTGAAACTGAGCCATGAACCAAGTGACAACAATTTGTGAAACTGAGCCATGAACCAAGTGACAAAAATTTGTAAAACTGAGCCATGAACCAAGTGACAACAATTTGTGAAACTGAGCCATGAACCCAGTGACAACAATTTGTAAAAAAACTGGCATGTATGAAACCAATATATACTCTACTACCTTTAACACTTAACCAGCCACGGACACATAATGTGTCCAGAAGTGCATAAGAATTTGTATGGGGTTATAATACTAGGCGCTAATACACTAGACATCAATTTCTGCTTATTTAAGCAGATCCTCACGGCGTCCAAATAATGTACTTCTCCTATATCAAGTGGTCGACCGTACATATATCAAGTGAGGAGCACATTGTATTAATTAGAGGATATGATGATGTATAGGTAGAGGAAGATTAACCTTATCAACGGAAGAGCTCATGAGAGTGACAAGACTTCCAACCACTCTCCCATTGCCGACTGCCATTATTGCACTCCTGTGGGCCTCTGTAAAATAGACAGTGAGAGGTACGTATGAGAGGTAAGTGCACTAGCAACACAAACACACACACACACAGGATACACACACACACACACACACACACATGGGATACACAATTGCATATCATTGTATTATGCACATTACAGTGTACGTGATAGCCACACATTCAGAGGACTAATGTAGGCTCATGCACTTCACTTGCCAATGAACGGTTCTTACATACTTGATATAAATCTAAATACAATGGACTATGAGAAGGGGCAGGGGAGTTAGACTAGACAATGGAAAGACAATGGAATATGAGAAGTGGGCGGGGCTAGGAGTTAGACTAGACAATGGAAAGACAATGGAGTACGAAAAACACATACTTTTGTGAGGTATGCAGTAATGATTACGTACTGTACTAGTCTCGTATTATATGGATGTATTATAGTACCATGTACAGCGAGGTTGCTGAGAGCTGCTGCACAGTAGAACTGTACGTCAGCGTCCTTGGAGTCCAGGAGATGGACAAACACTGTCACCCCTCCTGCCTGGACCAGTTTCTCTCTGTTACTCTCTACGGTTGACACCATAGTGTGTGTGTGTGTGTGTGGGGGGGGATGAAGCAGAGGACTCTTTTGAATTATAATTCTGTATACGCACGTAGTTTGGTTTAGGGCACTTTCACCCCACAGTCACTTAAGGCTGCATACATCTTCATTGGCTCTACAGTGTAAGGAAATTTTGTATACAGCTACACGTACAAATACAGTTGTGCCTGGTCATACGTATACAAAGGTGGTGTGGCCTGTTAGTAATGCAGTCAGTTTAAAGTGCAAAAGTCCATGGAGAAGCGTCTTGCTTCTAAGTCAGGGTCCCGGTGCACAGCATGTGTGGTAACATCTTTCCACTAATACTACATAGAAGAATACACGTGTTACACTACTGACCGATGTGGGTAAGGTTGAGAAGTGCCCCGGTGGTGTTCCTCTGAACTCTGGGGTCATTGACTCTAGTCAGAGCCAACAGAGGTGGTATTGCTCCATACTCTACTATCTCAACCTTGTTGGCTTCTGGTGGTATGTAGTATTGGGAGGGCAGTGGGGATAAAGGTATGGAGGGAGGAAGAGGGTAAAGGGGTGAGAATAAAAGGGAGGAAAGTGCAATTATGTGCATGGAGAACTAGTAGAACTGATGGTGTGGTGACAGCACTGTTGGTGCATCAAATCGTGCAATTCAGTAGGCTCACTTCGCCCGCCAAAAATGTACAAACTCACCAGTGGTAGCGAGAGTGGTGATACAGCCGCATGCATTACACTGAACCTCGGCACTGTCACTGGACAGTAGAGATATCAGTGGCTGCAGGGCCTTGGCCTGGACTATTGTCTCCTTGTTGGAGGCTAGAGGAGGAGAGAGAGATATTGAAATTCTACAAACGTGCACCTTTGCCGCCCTAGTGTGCCGCCCCTTCCATTAAAACACACACACACTAATCAAAAGGTGTAAATACTCAGCCCCAACATTACGAGGTCTCAAAGAATGTTGTATAGGTTTTGGATGCTATGAAAACATCAGTGCACACACACTTACCCAAGGTTGAACCACTTCACACCTCACAGCCAAACGTACCAGATGTTTTAACATTCGCCGGCCCACATGCTAACGTACCACACACAGTACCTAACGTGTATATACCACGCAGAGAAGTTAACATTCGCCCACAGCCTCCAAACGTACCACATACACACAGTAGTTAACATTCGCTTACAGCCTTCTATCGTACCACATACACACAGTAGTTAACATTCGCCCACAGCCTCCAAACGTACCACATACACACAGTAGTTAACATTCGCTTACAGCCTTCTATCGTACCACATACACACAGTAGTTAACATTCGCTTACAGCCTCCAAACGTACCACATACACACAGTAGTTAACATTCGCTTACAGCCTTCTATCGTACCACATACACACAGTAGTTAACATTCGCCCACAGCCTTCTATCGTACCACATACACACAGTAGTTAACATTCGCCCACAGCCTTCTATCGTACCACATACACACAGTAGTTAACATTCGCTTACAGCCTTCTATCGTACCACACAAACACACAGTAGTTAACATTCACTCACAGCCTCCAAACGTACCACATACACACAATAGTTAACATTCGCCCACAGGCTACATATGTACGTAACGTACGTGGTCCGTGGAGAGCGAAGTTACTGATGGCCAGGGAGGATGCCTTCAGGACCTCAATGTCTGAGGAGAGCAGGAGGTGAATTAGTGGCTCCAACTGCGCCTCTGTGATGGGCTCCATCACTATGGGAAAACAGTTCAAACACTACAGTACTGTATGTATTGTTAACTCAGCACATTGAGCTTGGATGGCAGAAATACGTACGTATATATGAGATGTCTAAGACAGGAGCTATTACACTGTGGAAGTTTTAAAGACACCATTGGCGAGCAAAGAAATGCTTAACCAATACTTGACTGTCCCTGTCCACACCATACGTGACTGTGTGTACGCCAAAACCAGGCATTAGGCTTTTCGACTTTCGTGTACATATGGGCCCGTACTATTACACGACATATGCCCGGTTTTGATGAACACGGTCACATTATGCCTACCGCTGACATGAATGCGCACAGGGCTCATATTTTGCTTGCAAACAGTGCGCTACATTATTCTTACTACAAATTAGCTATGTGTTATGTACAGTACCTGTGTCTGTGTTTACGTGGTCAGGTTTACGTGGTCGGTTTTACACACGTGTGCAATGTTAAAGTAAACTTGCAAAAATGCGAAAACACAAATGTTAGTGAAAGTGTAACGAGTACACAGTCATGAATGTCTCCACATCCTACACACATATGCATAGTGTTCACCTCATCTTTCTCACTGTCAGTATCCCTATATCTTGCCTGCCTTATCGAATTTGACAAGAGAGCAAGAGAGAGAGAGAGGAGGACTTACATTTCTCACTCAGTTCAGAGAAGCACAGGGCAGCCGATCGTTGGAGATCAACATTATCAGAGTAGGCCAGGGTACAGAGGTCACGTAGCTTATCATCTGAGATTGTCTTGTGTGGGTTGTTTGAATCTGAGGAGGGATTGAAATGGTCAAATTTCTCCATAATTCTTACATTAGGTTCTGAGTACTGTACAACAACTTGTGGAGAGTTTAAAATTTCAATTTCAGCTACAATTTTGACTCAATTTTGCTGTCCCAGTACCCAACACCCAGCCCCCAATTTTTGTAGGTATATATACATTAGTGGAAGAAGAGACAAGACCGACTATCCTGACTACAGTTGGAGATGGAATAGTAAAATACTTAATTTCACTGCACCGATTCCTATCTTGCCCAAATTTCGCCGTCCTCCCAAATGAGGGTGTCAACGATTTTTCATTTCTTATACGAACAGGAGAGTAAGAAGAGACAAACTAACTATCCTTAATACTTTGACTACAGTTGGACTATGGAATAGTGGCATACTCTATCTCACTGCACCTATTCCTATCTTGCCCAAATTTCGCTGTCCTCCCAAATGAGGGTGTCAACGATTTTGCATTTCTTGTACGAACAAGAGAGTAAGAAGAGACAAACTAACTATCCTTAATACTTTCACTACAGTTGGACTATGGAATAGTGGCATACTTAAATTCACTGCACCTATCGCTATCTCACTTTACCAATCCTTATCTCGCCTCTTTTTCACTGTCCCACTACTACTCCCCCCTACCACCCCCTAATAAGGGTGCAACGATTTCACATTTTTTGTAGGCACGGGAATGGAAGAAGAGACAGACCAACTATGCCTAATACCTTGACTACAATTGGAGCACGGAATAATAACATACTCAACTTCGCTGCACCTATCTCTATCACACTGTGCAGACATAATAACAAGGGACGACAGTGTTTTCACAAAATCTATCCTCCCAAAACTCGGGTATGTGTCCAACTACAACTGAACAGCTAAAAGAAAACGAAAACGCACACAAATCCCCATCATTTGACTGGCGGAAAACATTGCTCATAAACAAAAGGTGTTGGGGGTTTACACAGAGCAACGATGGCAATAACTGTAGCACCAATTTAGGGCAAGTTATTCCCAGTTAAAAGAAGCATAGTCCTTGTATTGTACACGTTAAAAGATGACAGTAGTGACTATTGAAAGAATGTATACGACTAAGGACCATTGAGATTACTAGGCAATAATGATTGGTGAGTAAGAGTGAGCTAACATAGTTTAACAAACTGCACATGTGTTCGAACTAAGCTCTCTACTACGCGTATATTTTCACTCCCACTCACCAAAATGCTCTGCATTTACAGACGTACTATTACGTTTGGATACATAACAAGTAAATATGGTGTTCTATTCAGGTACTACTGTGTACGCAGACACCCAAACAGTGTAGTCACACAGACATAGACAAAAGAGATGTGTGTCGTGTGTGGGCGTGAGCAAGCCCCGACGACAAAGTTTACAAAACTCACTAGTCTAACTTCCATGTTTGTACATTTCTAGCAGGTACAGAGACAGAATGCACGCACTTTTAAAACACACCGGACAGCAAGAAAAAAGATGATCGACTGATGTTCAATTTGGGTATTATGCCTCCATCTGGTTGCTTTAGACCAACCACAGTTCTACAGCAGTTCTACACACAAAGCATCTTATACTGTATGCCATACTGCAGTGCAACCTTTCACGAGCATGTGCAACAGTTGTGGTCTACAAACGCGCAGAAACTTCCACCATCCTGCCTCTAAAAGGTATACATGTATCTATACCTCTAAACCCATCCCCTGATCAAAAAAGCTCCGCAACTACAAATCCTCACCCCCACCTTGCTCTAGGTACTGAAGCAAGGAGGTAACGGCGTCCCTCTCCGTCTCTCTCAACAGAGGCTCTCTGGTACTGGCGATGTTGCTGCTCATACGGTGCGATCGAAAACAGTTCCCCATACTTCCAAAGCAGCTTCCCATCTGACAAGAAGAGCGGGCACACTAGGTTGTCCCGCAACGATCCCTTTGAAATCTGCTAACTCTGCTACTACTCACTACCAAAAACGTACATAGCTATCTTTCCACTTCACTACTACTGTACTCTCATCTCTCTCTCCCAGGCCGTGTCCGAGCCACGCCCTCTTACATCACACCAGGCGGTCCTGTTCCAAACTTTTTGGTTCCGAATTTTCACGCCTGCATGTAAAAACTGTAAAACCTCGGACCTCTCCGCCTGTCGTTTCTTCGTCTTTCACGCTGCCTGTACGTCATCGTAAGCATGCCCAGAAGGAGTCGGAGTCGCTCACCTGGACCAAGGAGAGAGTGAGTAACCGGATCGCGTGTATGTGCTGACTTACTCCAATTATTGCGCACCTGCCTCAATCGCACATACACGTGTCAGGTCAAGGCGTTCTTGTTAGGCAGTTTTCCAGTAGATCAAACTGCTGCGTGGTTTTAAACTGATGGGTCAGCCTTCCTTACTTCTGAATATGGGTGACAGTGCTACCATTCTTGATTTTGTGTATCTCTCTAGGTCTCGGAGTCCCATACTAAGGCGGCGTCGTTCAGAGCATGACAGGGGAGGAGGAGGAAGAGGAAGAGGAAGAGGACGGGGGAGAGAGAGGGAGAACGTGAGAGAGAGGACCACTGGTAGTCAGGATCCTCCAATGAGACGTAACAGTGACAGGCCTGTCGACAGACACACTCATAATGAGAGGTATTATATCTACTGCTTTTCTATGTTACCATACAATCCATTCAGACTGCACTCAGTCCTTGTCTCTGCAAAGTCAATTGAGAAGTATGTATAATTATATTAACATAACTACGATAACAATTGTGGGGGGGGGGCTCTTTTGAACAAGTACGCAATAAATTATGCCTTTTCCGTAAAACGGGTTTTTCATTTTGAACGCATGTAGTAATTGTTAATTGTGAGTTGGCTGTGTGCATTTTTAATGGGTAGTATGACAGTTTTCTGTAAGCATAACAATGCATGTGCATTGGTCACACATAATATTTATCTAAAGACACAATCTAATGTATCCAGGATAGGAAGAAATGAAGGTGATCGTCGGATGTGGCAGAATGATGTCCACCCTTCGAGAGCAATGGATGTGAATCCAGAATCCAGCGAGATGGAGGAGAACTCTGCACGTCGAACTGATCGTTTCGTAACAGAGCGATTCAAGAGATCGAATGCCGGGAGGTCTTTTCAGAGAGGGGGGATGGAAGGGAGGAGAGGGAGGAGAAGGTGGGAGAGGAGGAGCGAGGGAGATGGGAGGGGCTGGAGAGGAGATGAAGAAGGGGGGAGGGGGGAGAGAGGGGGAGGAGAAAAGGAAGATGGAGGACAGGGGGTGACGGGAGAAATAGAGGAGGGGATGGAGGGAGAGGTGGGTGAGCAGAGAAGACGGTTTGAGGGGAGGAGGGGGAGGGGAGGTTGGCGGCGAGTGGCCAAGGAGAGGGAAGAGATGGAGAGGGAGGAGCAAGTCTTCAGAGAGAAGAGGCTTATGGACTCACTCACTGACCCCAGAGATGTGCCCAAGGGAAGCTGGTATTTCGAGGTAAAGAACAACTGTGTATAATCCATCGACCTTGTGTGTATATAAACACGTTTGGTACATTCTTCCGCACTTTAGTTCCAAAAATAATAGTAGCACATGCTAATAGTGCCAGTTTCTTCTATCCCACTGCACTACAGAATGCACTGTGTGTTTGCCAAGCACTACCATACTGTACTCAGTATATTACATCTCTTTACTCTCTAGCATGACGATCGAAAGTTGGCTCAAACCTCTCAACCATCTCGACGATATAGCACAGGAGACGAAAGATACAGGTTTGCCACCATACTACGTATAACACCTACATCATATCCACCCTCTGGACAATCAATGGCAGTGTAACCCCTCTCGCTAATAACGACACCTTTTCTTCCCCCAACAACAGTTTCTTCCATACAGTTTAGCCCCTGAAAAAAGGACGGCTAACCCTTTTCTTTTGTCCCATTAGCGTCCAGATTAGAGGGGTTCCCTGTATGTTTATGCTGCTTAATTGCCTAGCGCGTTAGCGTAACTACTCCGGGTTGTATTCTCGCGATATGCGTACGTACGTGTCATCATGCGCAGATTTGTAGGAAGTCTGGCTTCGCGCGCAGTCAGTAGAGCGCGCGCACGAGTGGCCTCAGTCGGAGTGTTTACGCATTGGCTGGCAGGCGCGAGGCAAAATATGCGCGTGCACATTCCTAGTAACATTTTAATGGCGGCGGCAGCGTCCAGATTAGAGGGGTTCCCTGTATGTTTATGCTGCTTAATAATGATGGTAATGCTTTCTTTAATTACAGGCGCGATCGCAGGGACCAAAGGGACTGGGAGGGGGAGAGGGAGAAGCGGGAGGAAGTGGGACAGAGGAGAGGAGGGGAGAGGGAGAGGGAGAGGGGGTTTCGTCAGCGAAGTCCGCGGGTCTGGAGACACGACATGTTTGAGCAGCTGGAGCGAGAGGAGGCCGGGGAGGGAGAGGAGTGGGGGCAGGAGGGGTTGGTGGAGGGGGAGCAGGAGACGGGTAACGGAAGACAGCAGCGCAGGTGAGACACAGAACTCATTGGAGGCTCTTTGCGAAAATTGCTGTTGAACAGTGTGTGCCACGCGCCACTTAAATAGCACACATGCAGAAGGGCGTGGAAATTGCGTGCATGTGTACATAGAGCTCCACGTATGTGGAGAAATTACGCGGTTAAGCAAAGTGTTAAGGGTCCTAAACTAAATCTATTGTCCAAGTTTCTACCAAATTACCAAATTGTTAATGTTCCCTGCAATGTAAATTCTACACTTGGGGATAAAATTATGAGCAAAAGCCCAATGAAATTTATTTTGTGTTCAAAAATCCTGATCGTGTTCCAGGTCAGTGGTCCACAGACTTGGTACCAGACTGGAAGATACCAGAGGGGACCACAGACTACCACAACGCGATCCCGGGGTCGACGGAAGATGGGCCCACGACAAGTTCTCAGAGCATGACAAACTCGTGTCCTACCCCATTCAGCACCACAAGGCTCGCCAGAGGACGAAGGAGAGGAGGAGGGGGGAAGAGAGCGAGGAAGGGAAGGCAGAGGATTTCGAAAAGGGCAAGGAACAAGCTGACATTTCTATGGACACCATGTAAAGCAAAGAGGGTATATGTCTGGTAGAGTTGTTTTGTGGGGTGAAGTGGCAACTCACAACCCTCACTGGATGCACCATTTTCAGCAAGGTGTGATGTAACACAACCGTACAATATTTTTGACTAAAAATAGAAGTTTAGCTGCCATCTTATGTGGATGTTACCGTCACTCAAACCCATAATTAACGGCTAGTGAAAGGAACCCTCCTATTACCCATGACTCGGCAACTTGAAAATCTGCACGCACTCTGCATCACATTGAGCTGTTGTTTCAACGGTTGTGCTGTATATGACTTGAATTGTGTTTGCTCGCAAATTCATTCTAGTACCTAAAAATGTGTGGGAGGCTATATATGAACATAAATTGGGTGGGGGATCTCGACTTCTGATTACCATACTGTGCCAGTACGAAAAGCGGTTCAAAGCTTAAAACCGCTTGCATTCATTCTTGTATTCACAAATTTGTGTGGGGTGATAGAGATTACATTATTAGATGGGTGATCTTGACTTGTGCTTTGAAAGAGTGCTGGTGAGGAGTCAGAGGTGTTTCGAGGCCTCTCTGACAGACAGTTTTGAGAGGGAGTCTCTGTTAGTCTCCACAAACTGCCTCACTGCATTGCTGTCGGTCCAGGAGTACTGCCTCAGAGCCCAGCCAATGGCCTTGCGAATAAAGAACTCTTCTTCGCCGGCCACAGCGAGGCAGAACTTGAACAGTACCTTCACGTCTGTCTCTGCTTTGTAGTTCAGCTGGTCAGAGAGAAGGTGTAATGCTGAGCAACAAGTGAGCTACACCTAAGACCCTTATGGGTGTAGTGGTCAGGTTTCGTTCTAGGGGCACAAGGAGAATATTAATAATATGCCCATTGGCTTGGCCCCACTGAACTGAATGCCTAATCACTCCCACCACACAAGTACTGAAGAATGCTTAAAATAGGCACAAACTCTAGGCCGAACTGCAGTAAGACAGACACAGACAGAGGGATATGTACCTGGTGAAGCAATGCAGTTCTTCTGAGCCACAGACATGGGCTGGCGATCCACTGTTCCATAAGAGCTACTCCCTTTTCTTTTCTCTGACTCACCATGTAGCCCACCACTGCAGTTAGAGAATGGCATTACAACCAAAGAATCAGGGGCATATGCATGATTCCTAAATGAGAGAGGATTACACATGTTCATTCTGCACTGCACGAGGCATAATTTTGCATAATTATGGAGAAAACTGCTGCAGATATGCAAACAGGTGCTCAAATCCAGTATTTCTAGCTTAATGGGTTACCCTAAATTACGCACCAGGTGGCATGCAGAAGTCAAACTAATTCGAAGGCGTATGGTTAGGATTGTTATCTCACTGTGTGACGCCAGCATGTCCACAGTGTCCCACCAACTCTTGGTCGTGATCAGAACCTCAGCACACGCCACAGCCTCTGCAAAGTCCGCATCAGTTTCTCCCAGTGCCTCCCTGCGGAATTCCGACATCAGATCCACTCCGTACAGCTGGCACTCCCTTTCTTCCTGCTCCCAGAGTGACATTGCGAAACGAAGCAAGAAAGGTCGGCTAACTATCTCGTCTCTGTGCGCCGAGGTGAATTTCTTCTGCAGCTGACGTCTCTCCGGGGCCTTCAGCCCGAAAAAGGCGAATTTGTTCCGCATGTACTGCCTCATGGCGGCGGCGTTGGAAGGATTGGCGTGCCGGCTGCAGAGGTCTCGGAATTCGTGTGCAAGTGTCATCGCATGGCTGTCTTGGCTGACGCTGGACACCAAAGCTTGGGCTTCCTTGGACAAATCGTACGTTGCGACATGGTCTGCAGGAGTTATAGTAGACGTGGTAGCTTTCTGCTCTTTCGAACTGCTCTCTGCCTTGTCTGGAGCCTCGATTTCAACTTTCCTCCCCGCTGTGACCCTTTTCTTTCTCTTCGTCTTCGGCATGGTGCGCTTCTATTAGAATGGTGTGCTACCATTAGAATATGCGCATGCGCGTTGCAAACATGTTACGCAAAATTAGAACACGCTGAAATTTCATATTTTTTTGTTTGTGAGAGACACTGTCCTAAATCCTCTTAGTCCCACATTCACAGCAGTACTTGGCCTGGGGTACAGGGTACCCGGCACCACACTCATAGCAAAACTTGCTCATTGTCATCCCGTGTTGATTGAGGGGCACACCCTTTCTACTCCCGCCACCAAGGCTAGAGCCACTGCCGGTCCTCATGCCCTCTCCATTCGAGCCGCCACCCCTGCCGCCATCGGCGAAGTCAAATCTCGTGTCTTCGTGAGGCGGAGGAGAGTCTGCTGCAGCTCTCACTCTCAGAGCTCTGCATGCAGAAACACTATACTAAGAAACATTTTGAGACAATATTATATTGCAGAATACATGACTGTAGCCAGAGAATTAGAAACTTTGTTAGTGATAGTTTTGTAATTATGCACTACAGTCTTGAGTTATTGGTGTGTATGCGTTTGCAGTTTTTTTTTAAAGGAAAAGGGGATTTCAGGTGCATTTAGATACTGTGCAATATTAGCAACGTCCAATATACTGCACTACTTTTCATTGTGCATTAATGCTTGCTTAAATGCCGTTCTGATAGTTGCTGGAGCACATTACTGGAAAACATGATGTATCGCGAGACGTACAAACCTTGATTTTCCTTTTGGTTTGACTGGGCCCAGTCTCATGGGGTCTCCTCCCTCTCCACCGAACGAGGAGGAAGAATGCTGTCCTCCATTGCCGTCACTGACTCCCCTGATCTGCCTGGCCAGACCAACCTTCCCTCCCTCCCTTCCCCCACCAAACCCTCTCCCCTGATGGCCGCCGGGGAAACCAGCAACCACTGACTGCGGCGTCTTGAGCTGCGATCTCCGTCTCCTTATCTGCTGTTTCTCGTCACATGAAGCAAATCCTCCATTCTCTCCCTCTCCTGCCCCCACACTCTCATGTCTCCTCATCCAGGGATCTGATGAACTCCCTGGACATTAGTACCATAGTGTGCTGAACTGATCTTTAAAAAGAACCTACTGTGTGTAGGCACAAACTGTTATATTTCAGTAAAAAATATGCTCATTTGTAACTTCAGAACTTGGCACTATTGTCTGATAAGGTACAGTTATACAGTTATACACGGAATGGTAAGGAAGGTTTAGTAGAGTTTTTGACTCATCCTGTGTATACCTGGGAGGTCTCTGGCAGGCGTAGCTGAAGTGTGTGACGAGGTCGTCATTCTCTGAGAGAATGACTTTGGGACCTGTGCTCTCACCACGTGGCCACCACCATTCCTCCCTCCAGCTCCTCCATATGGAGACTGGTAGCTCCTCTGCCTCTCGGGGCTGTTTTCGTCGTCGAGAGTGTAAGTCCCGCTAAAGTTGGATTTCCTGGGCACGAGGTGGTATCCTGGAGGATGCACTGACTTTTTCGACGGTGTTGCGTCCTGATCGCTGCTCTTCTTCTTCAGTTTGGGTGGCTTGTACTGCATGAAATGAAGAGCCAAGGTCGATAGCTGCACATGTGAGTACACCTTTTCTAGAGGGTGTTTCATAACGTATGCTAGTAGTGTTGATTCCCAGTAATCAGCACACTCTGCAGATGAGGGGCAATAGAACTGTTCGGCCCACAAAAGGCTTTGCCACTGACAAGCACAATGCAGGGGACTATATACAGTGGAACACCTCTCTAGGATGCACCGAAATGAGGTCCTTTACCTAAGACCACGTTTTTGCAACCAACCCCTCAAATATGGGACCCGCTAAACAGATACTATATAGTATACCTGTATTCTCTTATTGAGTTTATCCATGGCCTTGTCCTGAGCCTTCCTCTCGATGCGAGCGTGTTTCTCCTTGCAGAAGGGGATATGCCTCTCTGCAGCATACTCCTCAAACCTTCGCTCGCAGTGAGGACACTGGACGTAGTCAGGATTGGGTTCTGATGGCCTTGGTGGAGGGATAGTCTTACCTGCAGTAACATGACATACAGCATCCTACACACACCCAGGACGTAGCTATATACACCCGGGGCAAAAATTTGTATACCACCTGAAAGACAATTATTTTGTGTGGTATGGCCGGGGGAATGTGCATACATGCGAGAGCATATGCAAAGAAACTTCTTGAACGAAAATAACCCTAAGAAATAAATATCCAATGCCCAGCAGTACAAATGTGGTGAAAGTAATTAGATCACGTGTACATATTTCATTTACTCTGCATAGCATACCAGTCGCCTCGGCTTCAGTGTACTCTTTGGCAGAGCGAAGAGCGTTTATAAAATCCTCATGTTTCCGTCTCCAGTTCTTCTTTTTCTCTGCTGCTTTCTGCATGCAAATTTCAATGGTAAAAAAAGTTGGCGTAATATCAACTTGCAGAATGCTTCATAATTGCCAGGAAAAGCTGCATGTGGTTGTCTACTGCACGCCAAAGGATAGTACATAACGCACTCAGTTCACTCACAATTTCTGCAGTAGAGGGTTTCTTGGTGTTGAGGTAGGGCCTGCTGGCTAGGAATGACTGGAGATCCGTTCCTTCAATTCTCTTCTTGGACGCATCGAAAACTGGCCTCTTGTGGGCCAGCTTCTGGCTCTTGGAGCACACGCGCTCGTGGCGAGTCTGCACACACAGCACAAAGCGTACAGCTAAACCTTGCTTGCTTGCACACAACACATAGCTAAACCTTGCAGCAGAGTTTCAATGATTTTCTTGTTGTGCAGGTGGCCTAAACCATTCACAAAGGTTTGCAAGTTGTGTACCAGTCGTATCAAGGCTAGAAAACACTATGCTGCTATCGGCTATCTGCATTGACTGTGGGGCTAGCGAAAAAGGGTCAACGTTATGTAACTCACTAGGACTTCGGGATTGAATGTTCGCCCGCAAATGGAGCATGGAGTGAACTCCACAGGCTCTGAAGACATCCCGTTCTGTAGCACCTCCATCTGGGCCATACGGATTACGAGAAGCTGAAAGATTGCTGAAGATTTGCGTTAGTTTTCGAAGGCGGGGCTCACGCGCACACGTGATAAACAAACAAAATCCATGGTGACGACCTTTGACCTAGCATCGCGGGAACTAGGCGGGAAATTTGAATGCTGAAAGGTTTTCCAGCTGCTCCTCCTGCAGTGGGTCAATGTCCGCGACGTTTCAACAGCAGAAAGAGCTGTAATGGAAACTGATCACCTGACCAGGTGAGCAACTGAGTGATGATTTCACATAGCTATCTCTTCTGTCTTCTCTTTGTATATACATGGCTAAAGCGACCCACAAACACTTCATTTTTCTCCCCCCAGTCATACTTCAACAATACCCGAGGAACCATGCCCTGATAAAAACGGTGCAGCCATTGCAGGTATATAGGCCATCTAACAATGCAATTCTATATTAGTGTTTGTCTACATAAGTCATGGGGATAACATTATAAATGTATCTACCTGTCATGTGAGTCTCTATTTCTCGTGTGACTGTCGTGTGACAGAGATTGAATCTAGGCCAGGAGCTACAGTAGACCACGCTCCTCTTCCTCCTCTCCTAACTGGCGTTGATGGGACGGGAACCAGTACGGGAGGATCAGTTGTGGGGAGTGTGTCGCCAGCCTACTCTCATCACAGCAGCAGCAACTCTGCCCACTCTACTTGTGGTGGGAGCAGTGTTAGATCTGTTAGGGCTGGAGTTACCACTACAACTACCATCAGAAAATCAACAGCCAAGACCAAACACTCAGGTATACACGAGTATTAACCTGTATATAGTTGCAGTGTGCAGTGAGCAGCTAGCTATATACTGGCTTTGAGTCAGGTAGCTAACCTTCTCATTGGCAATACTGTTTATAGAGAGTTTAGCCACTCAATTGATTATTTAATTTTGTTGTCGCATGAATGTGCATGAAATGAGACAGTGCATGCTAAGCTTACTGTACTGTACTGTATGTGTGGTTGCAGGAGGTTACAGTGTAGGCAGCGGAGGGAGGACAGAGAATTCTCTGGACCTGGACGGATTTGATGTCCTCAGATTCAGGAGCAAGTTCCTACAGGTATATAGAGTCCCATCACTAACACTGCACCATCACATAAATAGCAGGCTCTAGTATAATGTACATACTGTGCTACTGTACATTGATTTTGGTCTTTGTCAATGCAGACTGTGGAGGAATTGAAGATGAGAAGGGTGCGTAAGTTGCGGTACACTTAATGCTCAGTATAGATCAATACACTGATTTTGTATTCGTCCACCTGTTTTCTTCTTTTTATTGTTCATCATAATATTTATGTAGGAAGCTGATGTGAAGAAGGAGAAGAGAATAAGAGAGCTAATGGAAGAGAAACACCAGCTGCAGCAGAAATGCGTACGTTTAAAGACGGAACTATAGGCAGCTTGGGTCCAGGTGCCCGTGAGATTCGACTGAAAATCTGAAACTTCAGCACATGAAACTCACTGTACATGTACCTGCCAGCATTGGCCTTAGTCTTGTGACTAGCTGTAGATAGTGTTTTTGGCCATACATTTGACACTGACGTGTTTACAGTTAGAGTGATATTATTGTAGGATGAGGTGGAGAGTTGTTACTCTCAACACTTGGAGCAGTGCTCCCACCAAGAGCAGGAGGTCAGGAAGCAGTTCACCAGTCAAATCAGACATCTACAAGAGGACAAGGTAGAGCTACGACTGCCTATTGGACCCTGTAGCAGGACACTTTTGAAGTAGGAAAAAACCCTGTGATTCAGTAGCAGTCGAGAATTGCACAGAGTAAATTTTGTGGATGACACTCAAATTGTCAAATGTTTTGCACCATAATTACTATGCTACCATGTGTATTTTGCTTTTGTGATGGTGTGTGTGTGTGCGTGTCACTAGGCAAGGCAGGTGTGTCTTGAAGAGACTCGACACAAGGAGATCAAAGCTCTCAAGGACGAGATTAGAGCCTTGCAGGTATAATACCCTCTTGTTGGCACTAAAGGGGCATACACACAGTGCTCTAATGTGAACTCTTACCCACTCTTTAGTTGTCAAAGTACAACCTGGAAAAGAAAGTTGAAGACCAGGTAAATTCTGTACCCTCTCAAACTAAACCTTAGTTTGTATGCGGGCCAGAAAAATCTCTCATGCACGTTTGTCGCAATACTTTCCACGCCTTCTTCAGCACTTGATTTGTCTGTAAATTGTTTACGAATTCGATGATAAAGTAGCTGAGTTGGAAGTGCTGCAAGTTATATACAAAGGCTGTTCTATTCGTCTGTCTCTCTCACTGTTGATTGCTAGGGGCGGCAGTTGGAAGTGGGGGGCCTGTCACGGGAGAGTATTCTGAGGGAGATGAGTGGAGTTGAGGCCAAGTATCAGACTGTACTGGGCCAGGTGGCTGCCACTTCCTCACAGATGACCCTCCTGGAGGCAAATGGTCAGTTCTGGGGTATGGGCATAATTCTAATACATAACAAAGCTTGAATTTCACCAAGGGCAATTGCCACTAGTGGCTGTAATGTTCTACGTGATTCTAAATGTGTGCAAAAACTGCATTCAGTTGCCAAAAATGCATGAATCTTTTCTAGCAGCCCGAACAGAGCGTCACTAAGGGAAATAGCTGCTAGTGGGCCTGTATAATTGACTCTGATATTAATTTAGTGGCATAGACTGCACCATAGGTTTGGAGGCCAATAGAGAGTTGTACACAATGGACAGTCTCGAGGAGATTCTACCTATGCAGGTTTCTGTGTGCTTTAAGTGCAGGTTGCCTACGTTTCACCTTCACGGGAGTTTGAGTTGTTTGTTTTTCCACAGTCAAAGAGGCGGTGGAGATGAGCAGGAAGTTGAGGTACGTCAATGAGCACCAGAGGTGTCTGCTGGCTGGTGTGGAGACAGAGCTAGAGTCGGCCAGACTAGACCTAGTCCGGGCCAGGGGATCCTCCGTAGCTGACCGACTGAGTGACAGCAGGGGAGACAGGGAGCAACTGAGTGGAAGAAAGACTACCGCTCAGGAACTCAAGATGGTGACGTTCCACACACAATAACCAGCCCCATGCACGTACACATGCGGTGAACCCCTCTGAATAAAAGGCACCTCTCTATAGGGGACACTTGGTTCAGCCCCATACTAATAGTGATAGAGATGGGTGAAATTGAATGTTACTATTCCACACTGTAGTTAAGGTCAAAGGGACGAGCATAGTTGGTTTTTTGTTTTCCTCCACTCTTGAGGCTGAAAGAAATGCAAAACCTTTAGGTATGTCAGGGGTGGGGACGTTGAGGTATACAGAATGTAAAATTCTAGACACACTTTAGTTAATGTAAAGTATCAAGACTGTTGGGTCGTCTTTTCTTCCACTCAAAAGCCCGCCAAAAGTGTTAGCTAAACCGCTTCTGTATTCTATCTCTATAGAGCTGAACAAACAGCTCCAGGCTCAGCACAGTTATAGTGATGGGTGAAATCGAATATTACTATTCCGCACTGTAGTAAAATTCCAAAAAAAAACACGAGCATAGTTGGTTATTGTTTTCCTCCACTTGTCAGCATGAATAAAATGCAAAACCATTATGACCCTTATGTGTGTCGGGAGGAGAGGGGGACATTGGAGTGTACAGAGTGCTAATGATAGATACACTTTAGTAAATGTAATCTCTTTTACTTTAAAAGCCCGCCAAAAATGTTAGCTTATCTCCTAGAGCACGCTGTTTGCACTCTATCTCTGTCTCAGACTATAGAGCTGAACAAACAGCTCCAGGCCCAGCTGTCAGGTGTGAGGAGAGATCACCAGGCAGCGCTGGACCAACTGAAAGAGGCCCACACACTACTTGACAAACACATCGAGACCTCCAACAGAGCTCAGGAGAATGAGGTCAATCACTCCTACCATACATTGATTGCTGTTGTAGGATACAAAATACGTTTGCAAGTTCAAGTTTGACAGATTTTTAGTTTCGCACTTTCACACATTGAAGCCCATGTTTTAAAAGAAATTTTAGGATATCTGTAAATATTTGTACCCTGCAAAAAATGTTTTCACTTTGCTAGCGAGAATGAAGATCGTGCTATCTGGTAAATGTTACAGAAGAAGCTGAGAGAGGAGGTGGAGAAGCTACGAGAAGAAAAGGAGAGACTGGATGTGGATCTGGTGACCCTGAAAGAGGAGCTGACCTCACAGAGACAAGAATTGACCAATGGTGTTGAAGATTGGAAAGCTAAGGCATGTTACTGCCGTGAAGTGTTTGTGGATTATAGCTAAATGTTTAATTGTCATACATAAAGTTTTTTGCAGCAAATTTGTGGGTAGCTATTGACCTAGGAAATGTTATTAGTTGTCACCAAATTACACAAAGGGGACAGATAATGTTGTGTCCATGATTATTACATGGGCCCAAAGTGCATATATAGCCGTTCCTGGATAGAGAAGATGTGTACCCTCGGCGCGCATGCGCAGCGAGGGTACTGTAGTTTGTCTGTCTGTCTGTACTACTCTCAATCTCACTTCTCGGGTGTCTGTTCGTCCCAGAAACGATACCATCTACCCAACGGGCGACGAGGGTCAAAATATATGTGGGGTTTTCTCTGAAAATGATCCGTTGCAGAGCTACAGCGCTTCCAGCATTGTATGGCTAATGCCGGTAGTCGCCATTTTATCGCTGGCCAATAATGCGCATGCGCTTATATTTAGCTCGACTGGGTCCGCTTGCTCTGTCTATCTTGAAGGCACAAGAAGTCACAAGGAATGGCGTGTATCGACTCTCGCGTGCTATCTACTACTGTAGCTAGCCCGTGTCAGACTCTCTGCGAGCTACTTCGCCGAGGGTTTGCACTTTAGTGCTTTTCATTTACACTGTTCCCATTCAAGTAATGGTGGTCTGATGGATAAGCACCCCCTCTCTTGATCGTGAGGTCCTTGTTCGATCCCGGGGGGTGTGCGCCTTTTTTACAATGATGTAATAGGAGTGTTGGCTGTTGGTGTATAACTGGAACGTTTTTTCATCACTTCTCAAGGCCAGCCCGAGTGGCTAGGTGGTTAGAGTCGTGGGGACTGACACCATAGGTGCCGGGTTCGAATCCTCGATCCGCACTAAAATGTCAGGTGGTCCAGAGCATTGGCTGGGAACAGCTCTGGTTCCTCCCCTTACCCACAAATCTACCACTGACCCACGTTTCTCAAAGGGCAGCGTATAGTTCGGCATTGCACTACGTCGTAGACGTGTCTGGAGAGATGAAGGGCTGGCCGTTTTTTAACTTTTTTTTCAACCTTAGATATTTTTTTTGCACTAAACAATCACAGGTAATACGAAATTAATAGAGATGAAAGGTTGGCAATTTTTCAACCCTATATATTTTTTGGGCCTCAAACAGAAATGGGGCTGGCCATTTTTTCAACCTATTGACCATGGAAATAGTGCATAACATGCTGTTCTTTTTGATGCATGGTCAAGACCATCAATTGTGGTGGTGCCACACTTGTGTATGGGTTCCACATTTCTATATAGTGTGCCGAGGGTTTGCACTTTAGTGCTTTTCATTAGAGCAGTGTCTATATTATTTCAGGGGTGCCCTACTGTAACGGTTTGTAATATGTGGTTAGAACTGTATGGAAGAGTAGCTATGTGTATGTATGTATACAGGCAGGTGATGTGGAAGGTAGGTTGAGAAGACTACAGGAGGACTACTCTGAGTTGCAGAGGCCTGTGATGAGTTGGAGACGGAGAGAAACAACTGCGAGCACTCTCTGAGGTCTGAGATTGAGACACTCATGAGGGAGAGGGAGAAGAGCGAAGAGGAGATGGACAGAGGGTGGCAGGGAAAGGTGGAAAAGTTGGAGGAGTCTCTGAGAGAGATAGAAACACAACACAGAGTGAAAAACCTTGAGGTAAACTACCAAGCAAAACAGCATGGTCTTTAAACCAGATTTGTGCCCCACTGTACTCGATGCTCCACATTGCTAATCCTCACTTTGTCTTTTCATAAGGATAAAGATGTGCAGGTCTCAACTGTGCCTTCTGCTGCCATCTCGTCTCCAAAGACACCTCTGCAGCTAAAACCTCACCACACACACTCTACATCTAGTGGATCACCTCTGACTGGCAGACCAAGTCCCAATGAATCAGCCACTCCTGAGTGCATGATAGTAGGAGTCATTGAGCCTGTGGCAGTGGGGACTACATCAGCCACTACTGAGCCTATAGCAGCTGAGACTAAATCAATGTCGACTGAGTCTATTGTAATGGGAACAAAATCAGTCACTCCTGAGAAAACAAAATCTGCTCACAGAGAAGTGGTGAAACCCTCCAATAATGAAACTAATGGGGTTCCTAGCCCTCCAGCCCTGTCTCCTGAGGTGATATCTGAATCTCGTTCCACTTCACCTGCTGCTGAAGATCCAGTGATGCCACCCACTCCAGTAAATCAGAATTTTCAAACCTACTTTGGTTGTGAATGACTTGTGTCTCTGAATATGTAGGTCGGTCTACCACTACTGGCTCTACCATCACCTCACCTTCATCTGGAAAGAGTCCAGCTACCACTGAAAATGGGTATGTACTCCATGCATTGTTTGAGACTACAGTCTAGCGTCTCCAGTTCACGTCCACACGCGGAGGCTTTCACTGTGTTGCTTGCACATGCCTGGACAGGCTAGATTGTAGGACATGTGAAACTTTTTCACAGCTAATGTTTATGCCAGTGAATTTCCCCTCAATGTTTCTTGCCTACACTTGCTTGATCTCCACACCTGTACGTAGTATATTATACCAGTGTTTATTGCATGTATGCGTAACTAGTGTATGTTGCAGAGGAAGGGGATGCAAGTCAGAGCTCAAAAGACGTCCCTACCGTCAAGAGGAGGTTTGACAAACAGCAACATGTGAACCTCACCACCACCAGTAGTAATGACACTGACTCGCCTGCAAAGAAACAGAAGTTGCTGCCCCAAAATGACTCAGTTGTAACTGGGAAATCGAGATCACAACAAGACACCGCAAATTCTGAGACTAAAGCGATCGAGACTGAGTTACAATCACAGAGACAGTTGAACTCAAGTTCCTTTGCTCCCCTGTCTCAGCCATCTAGTGTCAGCTACAGAAGAGATCATGAGAGAGAGTCTCTGAGTCTTTCACAATCAGCTACTGACACCAGATGCAAGAAAGGGAAGACCATCCCATGGAGAATAGAACTCCCTCAATCATTCTATGCTAGCAAGAATCGCGGTGGAAACTGTCCATCTACTGACACCACAGTGAAAGAGAAGACAGGAGATGTGTCTCCATCAGATGGGAAGATTACTACACCCATCCAAAATGTTGGTGTTACTTTCATCGCCCCCAACAATAATAAGACTGTCTCGATTCTTCTATCTTCTGCAGGTTATCTTAACTGCCAGTGCCAGTTGTCAGAACCCTCCAACTCCCTGTGGAATGACAGACCAGAGTCCAGCTGGTGTGCAAACCATGAAGCCACCCCATGGTTTCATGCTCTTATCTATACACTTAGCCTACATCTATAGGCGTTCGTGCTTAGTGATGTGGGTGATAAAGTATATGCTGCGCATGTAAACAGAGAAGGCATGCACTCCTAGGTTGCTTGTAGTTAGCTACACTTCACTAGTTGGTCATCCGTTCTTTTACAATCTCTCCCTATACAGGGAGTAAAATGAAGAACTACTCACTACAAAATGCCCCACCTAACACACCACTGGTGGATCAACCATTACTCCATCCCACACTACAACACACTGCTACTCCCTCGTCAGTCTGTCCTGAACCGTCTGCCGATCAATCAGTGCCTCATTCACCCGGGGGCAGTGGTAATTTTGCCATTGTGTTCTCCGAAGGTGAGGAGGAGGGAGAGGATGAGGTTACGACTAAAGACAATCTGCTCAGCTCACAGATGAACAGACAGATTCAGAAGGTCACCTCCTTCTTGAAAACGGACAGACTTCGAAGAACAAAAGTGCCAAAACTATGAAATCAATATTGTATACCAGTCTATATAATACTTTGTAATATTATCGATAGCACTAGAATCCATAAAGCTGACCTTTTAGACGCTGTATTGTGGAAAATTTTCAAGGGGGCTAGCTAACTTTCACAAATATCTGCATGTGAAAGTGTTCTCTGTAAAATGTCGTGGGCAGGATTAAGGCAAAGTTTTCTATCCTTGAAAATTTCTCTCATAATGGTAAAGCTATTCTCGTGCTCTGTGTGTGCATATTATGTTTCGTCACAGGTATGAATATAACATGCAATGTTTGTTGCGTCAGGAATAAACATGCAGCGCTTGTCAGGAATTTATCGGAATCTTACTTGCTGAATATATTCACACGATTCACATGACCAACAGCACATGGCATAAGCAAATAACTTCCCAATGAATCTAGTTAGCAGGTGGAGCACAAAAACACAGAGCAAAAAGTGATTGTACTTAGTTCCATTGTAAGTCATCATGAGCGCAAGTGCTGGGGAAAGTGTTAGAGAGGATGGTGTTTTGTCTGGTGTATTCATCATCCTGAAAGTTTTGTAGTCATTACTGCGAGCAATGTGACCATGATGTATGCAGAGGATGCATTTCTGTGGGTGGAGAGCATTTCGAGCATCGATATCAAACAAAAGAGGCAGTAGCAAGGGAGTTTCGCCAAAGTTTTGAAGAAGAGCTGACAGATCTTCTTAAGAAAGAAAGACCTCTTAAGCAGCAAGCTGAATCACTTAAAGAACATAAAACTGAGCTAGCAAAAAAATTTGAGGCTGCTCGTGAAAAAATTTCCAGAGCATACGATGATATTATTCAAATGGTGGAGCAGAAAAAGAAGGATGATTTAAAAGAATTTCAAGAGAAATACGAAAGTGATGTTGGCATGAAAGAATTGAGAGACCTAACAAAATATGTAAGTGATCTGCATGAACAAGTTCTATCAATCGATAGAAGAGCACATCAACATGAAAATTATTCCAGTGATGTATTATTCATGGAAGTAGAAAAGAAATTGGTCGTGAGATTAAGAAAACCAATAAATTGCTTGACTGCCAGCTAGAGAAATTATCCCCTCATAAGCCTAAACCAGTTGGTGAAATTGCGATACTAGGATCAGGCTTGGCAGAAGCTGTTTCAAAGATGTATAGATTTGCTGATCCCCAAAAAACCATGTCAAAGTAAGCCATGAGAAAATACATGTTGACGAACCGACAAATGTTACTATAATATTAAGGACTCGATGGAAATCCCTGTCTTGTCCCGCACGAAATCCATGTTCAGCTGCAATCTGCTAGAAATAGTGATGCTGTGATTAAAGCAGAAGTTGATGTGCGTTCATCTTCAGAGTATCTAGCGACATACACCCCAACGCTGCAAACTAGAGGTCGCTGTCAGCTCAAAGTATGGTTTGACACGGACTATATCCATGAGCAAACTATCCGAGTCGAAGAGAAACCTCGTAAAATTTTGGAAGGTGTTGAAGCTCCTGGGTGTCTCCATAGAATAGGGACTAAGATCTTCATGATACAAGGAAATGATGCGGAACGCTGCATTAAGTTTTTTGATACAGTCTGCCCACTGAGTAATATTTGTCCTAAACCTAGTGTCTTTACAGCACCAAGGAAGTACCAGCATTGGTGTCCAATTGAAATGGCCTCTTCCAAGAATTCTGTTTATGTCACTGACAGTAAGCACAATGTGGTGCATATGTTCACACATACTGAAAAGTATGTAAAATCCGCCGGGGGTTCCGGGGAGTAAAAAAGGAAAGTTCAAAGGCCCTAATGGCCTATGTGTTACAAGTGACTGTATTTATGTATGTGATACCTATAACCATCGCATACAAGTGTTTGACCATGAACTAAACTTCAAGCGGTGTTTTGGTCACAAGGACAAGGAAATGGACAATTTGGATGGCCTAGTAATGTTGCTTTTGATGAAAGAAGCAGGAATGTTTTTGTCACTGAAAAGAAATAACAATCGCGTACAGTGCCTTACCGAGTGCGGTGAATTTGTAAGTTACATTGGTTCTGAAAGTGGGCCAGGGCATTTGATTGAACCAAATATTTTACTTATAGCCAATGACTATCTGTATGTTACCGACAGAAATGGAGTGTCCATATTTAAGTTTTCTAAGGAGTTTGTCACTTGCTTTGCAACCATGTGTGCTGCTAATGAAGGAAACAAAACTATCAATGGGTTTGCAATAGATGAAGATGGATACAGGTACGTATCGGATGATGTCAATGACAGAATTGTTGTGTTTTAATGTCTTATCTCATCATTCATGTAATCTTCACATGATCTTGTTATACTCAGTGTTGCAAATTATACTCAGAACTCAGTATTGTGTGTGTTATTTTAATGCTAAACGGAGATTTGTGATCGTAAAGGTGGTCTTGGGATTCGATTCAATTCATCAATGATGTCAACAGTGGTTGGTCTGGCTGTGGGACAATGCTGCGTACACCTCCCCATAAGTCTGTGCATTGCGTCCCACTTGTCTAGCACTGTCTTGAGCATGTGCGGGTAGCGATCACTAGTAGGTAGCTCGCCAGCAATAACTTCACAGATCATCCTCCCGTAGCTGTATATGTCTATTTTGGGTGTTTGAACAGGCTGTTCTGTTCCATCGGCGCGGGGGAAAACTTCAGGTGCTGTGTAAATGATTGCACCTTCACCGAGTGTTTGTGCATTGGGGAGCAAATTAGCTGAGCCAAAGTCGGATATCTTGGCCAGCCAGCACCCGTTTCCCATGCGTTTAAGCAGAATGTTGGGAGCACTGATGTCTCTGTGTATGATAGGCGGATCGTGAGTGTGCAGGCAGTGAAGGCCGTAAGCCACATTGAGAAATATTGACTGGAGTACGTGTTTTCCAAGTGATACGTTTTGAGTTTTGCAGCGCATGTATTCCCTGCGTAAGTTAGTGTCTAATAGCTCCGTGACGATAAGTGGCGGTGGTTGTCCCTGTAATTGACAGCTATTGCCATCCACCACTACGGTGCCAATAAAGTGAATGAGGTTTGGGTGACGCACTGTGCCATTATACTAATCTCACGTTCCAGACGAGGGAGAATATTGGGGTAGTCCTTAATCAGCTGCTCATGAGGCCACTTTATGGCGACAGTCGCCTGACGGTACTTTCCCTTTGCTACAGTCGCCCATGCCCCTCTTCCAATTTCCTCGAGAATTTGAACTTCATTACGGGGGATTCTGCCTGGTTCTTCGCCTACTGGGTGGCTGATGGCTGGGGCGAGAGTTTGCGACTGAGCCGGAACTTCCTCTTGTGCTGACTGTGATCGTTCGGGTGTATGTCTCCTGATCTGTGAAAAACTGGGCCCAGGAGGTATGTCTTGGAATCTCAATCTGTCTCTCAGGATTGTTAGCTCCCTCTCCTGTCTTACTGTCAAATGCTGCAACTGCTCAAGGCTTTGCTGAAGGGCCCTTCCCTCGGCTTCGTGCTGTGCGGATAGTTCATCGAGTTGCTGTCTTAGTCGGTCCGCGGTACTACAAGAGCGGTCCTTTTCACTCCGCAGTCGAAACAAGGCTTGTTGATGGTGCTGGATTAGTTTATTCACCTCGTCTACTGGAATGAATGTCCGTAGCTCTGCCTTCCGATGATGCATAGAATGTTTTCGGCCGACGGGCGGTACTGCGGTTGGTTACCGAGGCACTCAATCACCGTCTGTTTCAGTGGATGCTCGTCCTCCAGCATATCGAAATACTTCATTCGACGCTCTACCTCGGGAACTACGCTGCCGTACTCGTTTATCAACGGAAGGGGCAGCGGATTCTCCTGCGTAAGTGTCTGCAGCATCACGACGCCGAAAGAAAAGACGTCTAAACTGGTCGCCTCGTGGGAATCTAGTCCACTGAAGACTTCTGGTGGGTACGTAGCAAGCGTCGACTCGCCAGCGGCCTCTCTCTCGCTCTCCTCCGCGAGAACAATATGCGGTCTTCTACTCTCCATCGCCGCAGCTCCAAAACCGCCAATCTTTGCCAGCATAGGGATATCGGGTCGCTTGAAAGTGAGAAAGATCTTTCGACTGTTCAGAGAGTAGTGGACTATGCCCTTGCTGTGAATGTACTGCAAGCCTCTCGCAACGTCAAGAAGAACAGTGTGCTGCAGTTGCTCGTCCATCTTCCCTCTCCGCTTCCCAATATAGTCGTCCAGATTCCCGTCCTCCATCAGTTCCATGACCAGAGTGGGTTTGGATGAATCGTCCAGGCTTAGCCCTACTGCTAGAACGACATTCGGGTGCACAAGTTGTCTGAGGAGCTGACACTCTCTCCGTAGACCGCTCTCCAGCGATTTGGCCCAATCGGGACTGTATCGATCTCGGACACTGTCGCGGAGCTTCTTGCCTGCGTAGGACGTTATCCCGTCAAGCGTCACCTCCCATACTGTGGTGAACTGCCCACGAGCGATCTTTCTCTCCCTGCCATTGAATTGGACCTGGACCAGTGGTGTTTCCACCGCCGATTCCTCTTGTTCATTGTCTGCCAGCATCTCAAATAGGGGGTGGGGCTCGTCCATTGCCCTGGCGCGTATGCTTCGCAGTGCACGATGATAGTTGATAGTGCGCTAGAGACAGCGCAGAAACTGCGAGTGAGGACGGGGAACTAGAGGTTGGACGAGCGGGAGGCGGAGGCGGCAGTTGGACGACGCTCTGCCGCTCGAGTCAAGTGTCTTTCACCGCACACAGATGTGGAACAGGTGAGGCGGTATCCAGAAGATGAGGGCCAAAACAATACTCGAGGGGCGCCAACAGATGCAGCTCTGGCCTCAAAATGAAAGAGCCAGCAAGATCGAGTGCGTGCTAAAGCTGCGCTCCGTTGAGGAAGTATTGCGCAGGCGCAATACAGAGACACCTTCACGCTGACGTCACTAAGCACGTCAAGAACAAAATGTCGTCACCAGCTGCTCCTCCGAAAACAACTCCGTCCCGGCAGACGCCGACTACGGCAGCTACAACCTCTACGCCGCAGGCTTCGACTTCTTCCAGCATCGCTCTCCAGACCATCGTGGCGCCAAGCCCATCCCCGCGGCGGGCGTCAGCTCCGCAGACGGTGCTGGCCGGGCTGGGCGGGACCCCGCCGTCCTCCAAGAGACGCCGCACGGAGCCCGTCACAAAGACCGGTGTCGGATACAACATAGGCTTCATTGGTTCCGGCAACATGGCCCGCGCTCTAGTGGAAGGGATGCTCGGATCAGGTCCGTCCATAAACTGTTGTCGCAAAACCGCAAGTATTTTACCAATGCAAACACGTGGTTGTTTTACGTCATTGTCATGATGTAAACATTTTGGGTTGCTGCTGCAGGTCAGGTGTTGGCGGGGACTGTTATGGCTTCTGCAACCCGAGAGAGCTCAGAGAACCTCAAGAAAATGAAGGTATTTGACCGCATCTTCTTATTGTGTGTTTTACATTGCCTGAACACAGTGACTTGAGAGTAGGGGGTCGTTGGTAGCTCAGTGACTTTCTTATGGACGTCTGAATTTTTGTCGCAGTCTGGGATTAGAAACCAAAGGCAGAAGAATCGGAAATTGTAGTGAATAAATGCCAAACCAACTGAGATAAACCAACTATCCTTAATACTTTGAGTACAGTTATAATATGGAATAGTAACATTGCTGCACTTATTACTATCTCACTTTATAATCCCAATTTTGTATCTCTGTAACCCAATCCCCATACCCCAAAAAAGATGTCCAAGATATCGCATTTTTTGTAGACACATGAGTGGAAGAAGAAACAGACCGACTATCCTTATTACTTTGACTACAATTGGAGTATGGAATAGTAACCTACTCAATTTCGCTGCACCTATCCCTGTCTTGCTTCACCAATCCTTATCTCGCCTCTTTTTCACTGTCCCACTACTAAAATTATTAATAGCAATGATTTCCTGTATTATTTACAGAGCACAGTTCTTATTCCTGTAAATAAGACAAACACTAAATGCTGTTTTTTTTGCTGCAACATTGCAGGCTCTAGGAGTAAGCACCACCACCCACAACAGAGACGTGATCCTCAACTCAGATGTGATAGTCCTTGCCATTAAGCCCCACCAGGTCCTTGGCATCATGACAGAGATACAGGCCATGTTTTCAGACTTCCAGTCTCGAGCCCAGCCGCACACCTCCAGCCCCAAGAGCTGGAGACCTCTCATTGTCTCCGTGGCTTCTTCAGTCAGTATTGCCGACATTGAAGAAAAGGTCTGTGGTCTTTGGGGCCAATGTAACTTTGTTGCACAAGACAAGAGTTTGTTGATGTGTGACTTATTATAAGTGGTGCAAGTTTGTTGCATGAGAAAGGTATCGATGCCACTTCAGTGTATGGGGGTGGTGGGTCCATGCAACCACTCATTCTTCACGTATATACATTCCCCCGAAATATCATATATAGAAATTTGTTGTCCCAATACTTTAAGCTTGTATAAAACTCTGTACACGTGCAGACAGAGATATCGTGGAGTATGGGAGCATCCTCTGTGTCCGGTCACCTACCAGTCATCAGGAGCCTGCCCACTATAGCCAGCAGCGTGCGTGCCGGGATCACCGCTTATTGCAGGGGCAAGTTCTGCAACGAGGCGGACGTGAAACCGTTTGTCACGCTATTCTCTCTGTGTGGGCCCGTGGAGGATGTACCTGAGAAGTATCTTGACGCCATTACCTCTGTCAGCGGCAGTGGACTGGCCTTTGTGAGTCTTTTACAACTTTTATAAGGAGCACTGTACGTATGTGTGATAATCTGGATGCTACTTGAAGACTTCAGTGAAGAGATCTTGGCACTGCAACCTCTGAAAAAGACCCTCCAAATAAAGAACGCATAGTATTGCCACATATAATTATAGTAATACATGAAAACCTCTGAAGGACACTTCACTTTGTTCGATTTTTAAATACGTAGGATGGGGTAGTATATATGTATGTGGGACAAGTAGTTGGGGAAGTATATTATACGTACATGAGAGGTGGTGGGAGAGCTACGTACATGGGGAAGGTTTGTATGTGGGGGAAGTAAGTATGGAGAAGTATGTATGTGAGGGTTGTGTGAAGTATACACGTATGTGTGGAAAGTATATTATACATTCGTTGGGGAAGAACTGGCCAACCAACCATCTTGAATATAGCTGGCAATTCATGAGTATATATATGAGGACTAGACAACTAACCGTCATGCATACCTTGGACTATGGTGGTTCTGACCTAGTAGTATATTATTTTGTTGCCTGCAGGCTGCAGTAGGTCTGGAGGGAATGGCAGATGGCGCAGTGCTCTCTGGCATACCCAGACACATGGCCCTCAAGTTCTCTGCCCATGCTGTGATGGTGAGTTCTAACTTTGTTTCAGCCACACTGACACTCTTCTATCTCTTTACACAGAGTGCTGCAAGATTGGTACTTGAGAAGGGTATCGGTCCAGCTAATGTAAGATTTTAGTATTGCTAGACGGAGATAATATCTCCCTCTAGCAACTCCCCCTATATAACTGTTGCATAAAACCTTAGCAGATAGTTTGAGCTGCAGATTTTGTTAGTTTTTCCCAGATAAATATTCATAGGTATTGTACCTTGAAAGTTTGCAAAGGTTCTCTAGCTAATTTAAAGGTGTGCTTTATTTGGAAGGTCCCATTGGAGGTTTTTTTACCATTTCCCAGATCAAGGACAGCGTTTGTTCACCTGGTGGAACCACTATATATGGAATACAAAAGTTGGAGGCAAAGGGGACAAGAGGAGCCTACATGGATGCAGTACTGGCTGCCACTGAAAGAGCCAAACAACTCAAACCTAAGTAGAACCACGACGTCATCACTTCAGCTAGCACCGTACTCTTATACGCATGCGCACACCATGTTCGGGGGCGGGGCTTGTATATACACACGTGTACTATACTAACCGACGCCAGTGGCTAGTTTGCAGCGACGCTGTCCGCGTATATATGAATGGCGTATGGTGGTCTACGAGCTACGTTGATCTTTTCTAAGCAAGTGCACATGTATGTCTCCTAGGCCTGCTACTTTGAAAACTTCCTCGATCTGATAGGTACAGGAGAATGCTCTCAAATGGTGTCTCAGCGACTGTTGGGTCCGTCGTGGGAGGCCACCAGAGGTCGCTGAGCGCCGCGAGAGACATCTGTCGCGAGGCCCTCGCGAGTGTCTCGCCTTCTCAGCTGGTGCATGGGAGTGTAAGAGTGGAGAAGAGGGATGCTCACGTGATGCGTGTGGGCGACAAGGAGTATGTATTGAACCAGTAAGTCACTGCATAGCAAGTACAAGGTCAAGGAGGTGTGTGTAACCTCCGAGAAAAGACCCTCTGCAACAGACACTTCCTTGCAGCCCCAACTGGTGTATAGAATAGGGGACACCTGAATAAAGGACACTTCGATGCTCCAAAGAGGTGTCCCTTATTCAGAGGTTTCGCCGTATATACTGCTCATTGCCGTGTTGTGTATGTACGTGTGCTGGGCAGCAACGTGAAGGTGGTGGCATTTGGAAAGGCAGTGTTAGGGATGGTGGGAGCTCTGGAGTCTATTCTGGGAGGTCACATCGTCTCTGGAGTCGCCAGTGTCCCTGTGGGATCTGTGAGAGATTTCAACAATGGAAGAAAAGTCAGGTACGTTGTATTTACAGTTTAATAACTAGTATCGTCGATCATGTCTGTGACGACTCCCAAATTTTCGAAGAGCCTGGATTGAGGCAACCATTCACGGTGAAGAGATGATTTATGGTAACCATCAGGGGTGAAATGACTTTAGCTAAGAGCCATATTATTGTTTTACGGTAGAGGTTTGTAGTTTGTAAACACTATTGTTCGCTGTGGCTCTCTGCAGGATAATGGAAGGGGCAGCCCATAATCTGCCGGACCAGCCAGCACTGTGTGCGGCGGAAGAGATCCTGAGTGTGTGTCGTGGGGCAGGAGAGGGGGAGGTAGTGGTGGCTGTCATATCAGGTGGTGGGTCTGCCCTCCTGCCTTGTCCCATCCCCGGAGTGACGCTGGATGAGAAACGAACGGTATGGGGTTGCAAAGCTAGAGGCAGAACTAGATCTGCCTGGTAATGTAGTGGGAATTTGGGCAATTGCACACAATTTCTTTGCCTCCAACTTCTCTCTGTGTGTTGCTATAGGTGACAGAGCTCCTGTCGAAGGCAGGGGCCAATATTAAAGAACTCAACACGTTCCGTAAGTTCATCTCTCAGACAAAAGGAGGTAAACTGGCCGAGGCTGCCTATCCTGCCCAGGTCAGCATCTCCTTTCTCTGGGGTAACTCCTCTCTCTGTCTGCTCTATATTAGTGAGCCTGCCTAGTTTTCATTATTGTGTGAAACATTTAGAATCCTGTTCTGATTATACAGATGGTGGGTCTGATTCTCTCTGATGTGATTGGAGATCCTCTGGACACTATTGCCAGTGGTCCCACCACGCCCACCAGAACGACTCACCATGACATCATCACACTGACGGAAAAATACAATCTCTCTCAGTCTCTCCCACAGTCAATTCAAAACATTCTCTCTCGTGACCGAAACCAAACTAGAGGAACTGAAAGCACTCGAGAGACTGTACCAATTGAAAACGGCTCCTATAAACACGTGCATAACGTGATTGTGGGTAGTAATCGGCTTGCAACAGAAGCTGCCGCAGCCAAAGCTGAGTCTGTGGGCTACAGAGCTGTTGTGTGGTCCCATTCTGTACAGGGGGAGGCTAGACTGTTGGGTGAAGTCTTTGCTACTCTAGCTCACTGCGCAGTAGAATCTGGTCTCAGATCTGCCGTTTCAGAGCTCAGAAAGACTCCTTCTTTTGTAAACCTCATCCGGGAAAACCCTGCTATGGCTAGAGATTTCGATCACTTGAAAGGAAAACTTGCTAGAATTGCCGAGGATATGGGAAGACCCTGTGATTTCTGCCTAATTAGTGGGGGCGAACCGATAGTTACAGTCACAGGTGATGGCAAAGGAGGCCGTAACCAGGAACTAGCGCTGGCTTTCTCTGTCAAGCACCACCAGTTGAAGCAGGAGTCCGGGTCACCAGCAGGTCCGTGTGAGTGTGTCCTGGTGAGTCTGGGTACAGACGGGCAGGATGGACCAACCGATGCAGCGGGGGCCCTGGGTCACTCCTCCATCCTCACCACCGCCACTGCACAGGGCCTGGATGGAGAGGAATCCCTGAGAAGAAATGACTCACACTCGTTTTTCTCTGCTCTCGACGGAGGGCAATACCTACTGAGAACTGGTCTGACCGGAACTAACGTGATGGACATTCACTGCCTTCTTTTTACCAGTATTCACCCATAATCTGATTATAACCAACTTTTGAAATTGCGTCCACCCAACCTTTTGCGAAAACAAACGTACCAATAATATGCGAATGGCGTGCTAAAACCCCAAAGCGTTGGTGAAAAATACTTTGCAATTTCATTTACATTTGTTTTTATGATAGAATGAGTACAGTAACTAATTCAAGTACCTAAGTCTTGCATGGCATCAGCTAGTTCATTACTATCAGGCTGAACCAGTGTCCTCAATAGCATTGCAGATCTTTGTTCCTCACTCAGTGAACATGGCCGTTCCAGTGAGCCTTGTGAAATCTATGACTCTGTAGTGTAATTTGAAGGGGATGGCTTCAAGCACCAGAAAGGAAAGGTAGTTAGGCACACAAAGCTGTGGCATAATCCTTAAGCTCTAGTACAACAGGCTGTGAAAGTTGTAGTGGCAATAGTTTTCACAGAGATTTGGTTAAACTTCCCAATTGTGCAAAAACACACGGAAGACTTTGAGAGCAAGGTATAATTACAGAGATATGTAGTCTGCTGACCATGTGGACACTTCGAGACCAAACTGCTCCACACTGCCCCTGGCACAGTGGGCATGGCCTGGTCATGGCGTGACCTCCACACTCCTCACAATCCTCACCAACTTCACCATCATACCAGCCACTCCCACAGCTACAGATACGCATAATAAACTCAAAATAGTTGTACAAACAGGTATATACATAGCAGGAATTTTAAAGGGAGAATTAAAACTTTAGCGACTTTGGCAAAGTTTGCAGAGATAAGTGGATTGACCATACGAATACAGTAGAACCTCTGAACAAGGGACACTATGAGGCCAACGATTTTGTCCCTTGTAGAGAGGTCGTCCCTATCTCAGAGATAAAAAAATACACTAAAGTATTAGCAAGGGGTAGAAGCAAGTGTCCTTTGTCATCCCTATCTCTCGAAGCGTCCCTTATCGGAGGTTCCACTGTAATAATTCTCGTCTTGTATTAGATTACTATGCACAGGAGACTCTAATGTCACCTAAGACATTTCTGGATGTGTGCCTTGAACTCGGGAGATGCCTTGAGTTCTCTGAGAGCCTCAGCTGTGTACTCCCCAGCTGTCTGTGATACTCCCTCAAGCTTACCTATGTATTGACAAAGCATTATACAGCAAAGCAAAAGCCAGACAACAAGTGGGTGCACACTTTCTCATATACATGGAGCTGAGTATACAATAAGGTACTAAACACAAACTTGGTGTTGGTGAGGTGAGTAATAGACAGGGACCTCCTCGTCACATGAACTGATATCTAGTCCGTCTCTGCCACCACCTACAGCCACCGCCTCAGCTCCTTCACACATAATATCCTCCACCATCATGTCTCCATCTTCACCGACCTCCATTGACCCACTCTCAACTGCAGGGTGACAGTAAGATAGATCAATGTGACCTCAAACCCAAGACAGTATTATAGTAGTGTCTTTTTTGGATGGAAAATCACCCGTCAGCAATAAGACAGAGTTAAATGTTCACGTACACTTTGTGGTGTTGTTTTTAACTTTTCAACTGACATCATAAAAAGCATTACACCCATCTTTTCTGACAAACATTCATATAACCATGAGATGATATAAAGATGATTTTTCACAAGAATGACGATAACGATTGCTGCTAGTAACAAGGTCCTTCTTCGAGAGCATCCGATTCATTTCCGCCATAGTCCTCCCCATTATCAAAGTATGACATGTTGTAGTCAGTGTCTTCCTCCTCCACCTCTTCATCGTAGACCTCTTCTTCCACCTCTCCTTCTCCTTCCTCCCCCTCCCCTTCCTCCTCCCCCTTCTCCTTCGTCACTGACTCATCAACATCAGACAACGGGTCAACCCTGTAATGTTATTGCAAATTCTTATGTAAGAGCCAGAGGAATAGAGTTCAGTAAGATTACATAAGCCAATTTGTTCGTGTAAGGCTGTGTATGTTATGCACAAGTTACTGTTACTGTACAATGTGCAGTGTCGATTAAATAATGGCAGAATAGCAGGCCTTAGAATGAGGCTGTAGCACAGCATTGGGAAAAACTGAAGTGTCTTACTATTCTATTTTACCTTTCCCCACCATCGGCAAAGGTGACTTTCTTTCTTCCAGGTGGGGCACTGTCTTTCCCCGCACCACCCCCTCCCCCTCTCCCTCCTTCCGAACTTCTCGCTCTCTTTCTTGAAGAAGGCACCACTGGTTTCGGGCCAGACGAAACTCTTCTTCTCTTGGAGCTCCCGGGGCGTAGCTCGCCCGGGAAAAATCTCCAGTCAGGTCTCCAGCTAACAAATTCGTTGCTCTCACTCTCTAGGAGTTGTATGTACTTGTCAGAGTATCGCCGAATCCCCTGTTTTTCCGGACCGGCCTTCAGAGCAAATGGACTCTGTTGCATGTACAGTCGTAGGTTCTCCTTCAGAGCTAGCAGTTCGGTGTCGGTCGGCAACTTGCGCAGCTCGAGGGGCCGTTTTTCCATCGGTGGAAACAGTGGGGGAGGGGTTAAAATTGGCGGAGGAGGGGGTTCTCCGGGCAGGAGGGACTCTAGCCCCGCAAACGGCTTACCTCGCCCTCTCCCTCTTCCCCTTCCACGACTCATCTCTCATACTGACACACATATACGTAATAAGTAATCACATATATGTAACACATGTACGGTTATCACAATGTATATTATAGTATTTATGACTGGGCAACTACTTTACAGTATACAGAGCTGATCGACTTACTATCGACTGCAGGTTCACGCACGAGAGATCCTTCTTGTGGTGGAGAAGAGTCTGCGTAGTAGTGCTTAACTTAGCCTTAGTACACGCGCACGCGCAGAAATAAAAAGGTGGGTAGGGCTAAGGTCCTCCAAATAGTGCGCACCCGGTAGCTTGCAGAGGCAGATGTGATGGAGACTGGTTCATCCAGGCAGAGATCGAGTGGAAGGTCTGTAAAGAAAGAGCGCGGTGGCAGATCAAGATCCAGGAGTTCCTCCTGCGATTCGGACGCTCCAAGCACTAAGAAGAGAAAGAAATCGAGCACCAAGCACAAGAAAGTTCGAAGCGGCAGCGAATCTCGCTCCTCATCTCGCAAGAAAAAAAATGCGTCAGAAAGACACAAAACGAAAAAACGCGAATCCATGTCGAAGTTTTCGGACGAAAAAAAGAGTAGAAGGTCTCCTAGCGGTAGTGATGATAGTGAAAGCGACGATAGTGGTTCCAGCGGGGTCAGCTCTAATGACTCCGAGGAAGAGAAGAGGCTAAAGCGGAAGAGGAAGCGACGAGCAGAGAAGGATGCGAAGAAGAAGAAAAAGAAGTCGGGGAAAAGTGCAGAGACGGGCTTGAAACAAGTTGTAACTGCTCAGCATTCAACACCATTGGCAGCAAACGGTTGGACGACAGCAGGTAGATATATCAAATGACTTTTTACTTGTTTGAAGTTTTCTATTCCTTCCATCTTATTATTGGCAAGATGTAAAAGGAACAGAAGGCAAGTAAGCAATCAAACCACCAGTGAATGGTTTTTAAAAGCCATGACTAACAATTATAATAGGCAGCAACGTGGGCCAATGACAAAGGAGAGTGGGAAAGACAACAAAGTATGTGTAGAAGAGTTTACGATCCTGATACTGGGACACAGGTGAATATAGCGGTCAAAATTTATTTACCTGTACTTTGAATGTGTTGGTGTAGGTTAGTGAAGGGAGATGACGAGATTATAGAGGAAATAGTCAGTAAAGAGAGACAAAAGGCCATCAATAAGGTATATAGGTAAAATATCTTGAGTGTATCTTGTAGTCTTTTCCCTGACATTCATACATGCAGCAAGCAACCGTTGGAGATGGAACGTCACTTTCCAACAAGGGTCTTAGAAAAACTCTCTATAATAACGTTCTGTGACTAAGGATCTACAGTACCATGTTACATCAGCGATCCCTCGAATGAGCGCACTACTGAGTCGAAATTCTGAGCGAGTGAATCGCATAAACTCGCGTAGTACGGTGCCTTCACCCCATGCACTTCTGCACAAAGGCCGAACCATGGGACGATCACAGGGGAGGTGTTGTAAGCAAAGGCTTCATAAGTGGCGGAGGAGGCCTCCAGAGTGCACATCCCTAAGAAGAAAGCGTGACCGTGTCGTACGGCATTCGTGACGAGGAGGACGTTGAACCGCTCGGGACCGTGAACGCCTGAGGGTAGACCGCGCAGGCTCGCCAGCTCTACAGAGGCGGGGCTGCCGGCCGTAGGTACTCATCATATAGATGCTGGGATAGCCAGTTACGCACGATGGATATTGTAGTATATGTATATAGTGGTAGGTCAACCTTCGTGCAGGCAGTGTCGCATTCAGTGTGTGTTGATGATCAGCTGAAGTATGTATGTCCGCTTTCGGATTAACTGTAGAACACTCCCTCTTTTGTCTATCGTCACCTTATTCACATGTGGTGTATATTGAATCTCACTCTCCCCTGCTCTCTTTCCTCGCAGAGATAGGTTAGGTCACTGCGAGCACCACACGAAGGGGTCAACGATAGTGTACTCTGATGGATGGCAGATAGCAGCTTTACAGTATGTTCCACGAGCTATACATCAATAAACTGGGTCTCTTTGGGAACGGGGGGGTAGGTACGCGAGGGTACAAAGTTGCATCTCAACCTTCAAAGAGTTTTTTAAGTGCCCCAGTGAATTTACTTTTGGATAGTGCTTTGACATCTCGAAACAGACACTTGAGCTGTATGTGGAAAATTTTGTCCTTCTCTCCCTCCCACACTCCTCCCTCACTCCTCCCCGCCCCCTCCTCACTCCTATAAAGTCAATGTCCGCAGCCTCAGACATAACAATGAAGCGGTGGGACGTCACGTAGCGGTGCCTGTACGCGACCCTCGTCAGCAACAGGACATAATAGGTGTATGAGCGTACTCGAGACATAGAGACGCAGGGTGGCAGTGGTATGTGTCTGACCATTCCATCACCTCGGGACCCTCAAGGACTCTGACTCATCCCTCCACCAACAACAAAGTCACCAGGAGTGGTCCACAATAACTGGTGATTGCCCATGAAAGACCCAGGGTCAGGCACATGACAGTTGTTATACGGAAAATAGTTATAGGTGATGTTGTTAGGTGGTTAGTAATGTGTAACAGTTAATTCACCCTTTTTCCGGGAGTGCGGTTACTACGTTAAGGGGAACATTCCGTCCAGCCATGTCCACACACGTTAACAGCCACATCAGAGAGGTCCAAGGACCGGTCTCATACTCTGGCCATGAAGAAGGCAGGGACTGTGCCCGGGGGAGCGGGTGCACTGACAAAGGTGAGGGGGCTAGAGAAGATGACAGGTCGTACGTGCCTTGGGTCAAGGCATTGTACACATACAAGTAACGTATGCCCTACAAGTACACCGTACAGTGAGCATGGAGGCTTGCCGTATGCCCAAGTAGTAAATCCTCGGCGCGCATGCGCAGCGAGGGTTTACGGTTAGTTGTTCGTACGTGGTCAGTACGTCATGGTCGTTACCCCGTGTTCTGCCCCGCGCCCACGACTCAGGGAAATAGCGCAGTGCTCGGGGTTCTGTGTACATGGGTGATTCAAAAAAAGGCGACTTTTCGTTTACCACTACGCGTTTAAAGTTCTGGCGTGGAATGGAACAAGTGAACAAGCCAATCTGGTAAATTTGCACGGCTACCTCAGACTGCCCTATCCGGCGCTTGGTATCTTGCAGGAACAAGAAGTCACACGAAGGCATTGGCGACTCCGAGCATCGAACTGGTAGCAAGCCCGTGCAGGAATCTCGCGAGGCTACTAGCGCGATACACGAGAAATAGAAAAAGGAGCAACAAGCGAAAGAATAAGGAGTAAAAAGCCAGCCCATCAATTTAGTGGT